TTGATTTATTATTAAATGTGGTATGGAATCCTAAATACATGTACCATTTTGATCAAATATGCTACATTGTACTTTTATCACAAATAATTTCATATTCAGATATTTTTATAGTAAATACTTTATTACAGAATTATAAAAGATGTCCAAAAAATGTTAGCCTTACTTCGGAAATCATGAATACACCACATGAATGGGGCGGTAAATTACTACAGCAGTATCAGCAATTCCCGTTGGGTGTTCATGCTGTCTTAGCCAGATGTTATTGTACTTTCAGGAATAATGAAACCTGTTTATTATTTAAATTAATATCGTTTAAATCCCAAAATAATCTTTTGTTTTTTCCTTGTAATAAAATGCATCCTGAATCAGCATGGAAGAAACATATAAACACGAAACGATTTCTGAAAATTATAGTTTTCTTTACAGATAAATGATTAGTCTCCGTTGTTAGACATTTAAACGTTCGAACATAAATTATAATTAGTTTCCGTGCACATTTATCTATTTCTAATACATATAAATAACTTATTACAAAAGTTTGATTTCTATCGCTCACACTTTCATTAAGAATTTAATCTGTTGTTAATGATTTACAATGCAGGTAGTTCTTAATTCTCACATTATACAATTTATTGTTTATGATAGTTGATTCATTGTGATTAACCATTCAATAGCTGTCTGTTTTATGCAGTTTAATTAACTTACTTTACCAAAAATAAATCCACTTCAAATTGTTCTTGTTTTTTTTTCTTCTAAAATACACTCTTATATAAGAGCACGTACCCAAACATTTCAATGACAAGCAAGTGAAGTTTATTGATCATATGTATGATACCTTTTCAATAACTTTCCATTAATATTTATTATGCTCACTTTAAAAAAACGGTATTGTGCATTAGCATTTACTTAATTTGAATAACTGTTGCAATAAATATTGCAAAACGAAGATTCAAAAATAGAAACGTTTGAAATTTTGAAATTTTTCAAGAATTATATTATTATGCACCTATAATCATCTTTTATGAAATTGCATTTGCTACAAAGTTGTAGGTGCGGCAATAAATTAAGACAGGTTAACTAATTATTCTAAATGACAAATAGGTACGATTCAGACATTTTATAAAGACATACTGTGTACTTTTGGACGATTATAATTTACTCACCATGCATTTTTCTGTTAAACTGGTATTATTTTGGTAATTATAAAAGAAATAAGAAATAAGGTTCATTTGCATTTGAAACAGCTGTAGCTAAAAGATAATCGCACTTTAAAAAATGTTATGCATTGTTGATGGCTTCAGAACGTTAGAAATGATTTGTTTCCATACCATTACTTCTCAGCAAAAAGCTTTATAATGCATTACATGTACTGCTACTATAATACTACTGGACATATATAATTTGAAGTTTTACTACATGTATGATTTGGTTTTCTTGAATCCATCATTCATTTTATTGTACACAAAGAGATTTATTACTGCTTAACGCAGATTCTTGCTTAATAAATGGAGAGACTTAAGTAAAATTAGCTTCGCAATTCAATAATTGTATTGGAATCGAATGCTGTCGAGGGTTTCTGCTGATTCAGACAACACAGGTAAAGTGCAAGTCATTTAATTAGCCGGGCTATGAAAGACACTGTTTCATAACAGACGATGGGACTCATGGGAAAATAAAATGGAACATTCGTAATAATATCAGGAAAATTGTTACATAAACAAATTAGAGTAATTGTATATATTTACCGAACTTAGATCAATATTTTAAAAAATAATTACACATAATATGTTTATTCAATATATACATTTACGAGATTTGGAATTGTTTTTGTATTGTTTAGATAATAATTTGATAAAGCATTTAGAACTATGAAAGTTTAATGCAGTTTAATGTCTTTCATATTACTGTTAAAAAATCATAAACTGTTTTATCTTCTGTAAATAATGTAGCTCTAAGAAGGAATTTTACATTTCAGTTTGCTATGCATATATAAATAGAACGAAAACATAGTAATACAATATATTAGTAAAATATCGAAACATACAGAAATAAATATAAATTTGTAAATGTTCATTTTTTTAAGTTAAAAAATTCCATCGATCGCAGATTTTGAATAAATATGTCCGCCCTTCATTTGTGTAAGTTTTGGTACAAATTTATTAAAATGTGTTTATTTATTTAGTAGGAGTAACTCCTTCACAGTTGAGCATTAAATTTGCAAAGTTTTCGGCGCTCGATTTTAAAATTGGCATTTGCATTTCTTTTTTTAATAATAAGTGCATATATGTCAAACAAATGTCTTCGAATATCTGTTAAGTAGCAAAGGTCATAAAAATCAGGTCAAGAAACCACATTTTGATTGAAGCAATCAGCTTGATAAACGGAAAGATTGGACAATAACTTTCCATCCAGGGAGAATTTTATTATTATGCTATTAAGAACAATCGCGTGGCGTTGCAATTACTGTTACCTTGATTTTCAGTTGTTTGACAAACATAATTATGAGTGTCGTCTTATAATAAGTGGAAGAAAATGATGAAACAAAATGTTCTAAACACAGAATTCAATCTAATCTTATTGCCGTGAGTGATGCATTTATAATCGACCATGATAACGAATCTAAAATGTTAACTTTTATTTCTTTCATGATAATTGAAAACTATTCAATATTATAATAACCTTTAGAAATATAATTCTAATTTGTTAGTTTGTCATACACATTGTGTTTCACGTACATTAATTTTAAGGATCGCAAGTGAACACAGCGACATAATTAGGGGGCAATACGCAGTTTTCAAGGCTTCTCGGCAAACAAGTGACTGCGCCACAATCAAAACCTAACATACAAGTCTGTAATCACACACCTGAAATAAATGCATTTCATATTTAACATATACATATGTATCTCACAGCAAACAATTAAAAATACATGTCCACCTTCTACATTTCTGGCACATAGCCCTGTGTTTTTCATTGTTTTGGTCGCGAAAATCAACGACAAAAAGAGTGGATTACCCCTATTCGCAAAATAACAAAATTATACTAACGTCAAAAAATTAAATCACAAGCTATAGTGTTTCTTCCTTCTTAAACAATGCACAATCTGAAAATAAAATACAAACGGGGTGCCATCCACCTACTTTTTCACTATTCTAAGTCTTCTGCATACCCTTTAAATTGAAAAGCTGATTCACCGGCTAGCTCCCGCATCCGACAGGTACTCTCTCAAAATGCAAGGGTCAACGCCACTAAATTCAATTTTACTAAATAACTGAAACACAATACTAGTCATTGAAACTAACTTGAAATATAGTAACTATAACTATTTAGAACGTCAAATATCTACTTCAATTTCAAAACTGTCTCTTATTTGTAAATTTGACTCTGGCCAATTCGAAACTAAATGACCGAATCTGTGTACTGCCTCCTTAGGATATAAAATAAAAATATGAAAACATCAAGCGTAAGTCTTAGAGATAAAAGTTTGTATTACTACTGTGTGTCTAACATTAAAGAAAAATTCAATTCTAAATATATCAGTGTTCAGCGACATTGTATTGAAGGTAGCTTAGTGTTACAGATACATAATATGATGTTTTTAATAATATGTAAAAGGATAAGCCGCCTTTATAAGATCAATTCATGAAATATTCTATATTTTAATTTCATATACGAATACAAATAATTAGCTATGCGTTATTACTTGTTTTAGATTGTTGCCATGCTATGAAATATATAATTTATCTGACTGGGGGAACTTGATTGAAGATTATCGATTTTGTATCAATATAATGTCACTTTAAATGTAAATTTCAATTGAAAATAACGTCACTGAAAACAAAGACTTATATAGTCCACAAAGAACTCAAAAAATGGCTACATTGAAAATGTAATTCTTATATTTAGACTAGTAATTTAGTGATAAAGTACATAGGTTAACATTGCAATGACATGAATATGACTACATTACAAATTCTTTGCTAATGTATTAAAATGTAGAGTAAAAGAACTGTTTCAGATCTAGACGGTACATTTTATAAAATAAGTTCAATAGGCTTATTTATAGGGAGTCACGCAACAGAAAAAGAAACACTTCAAAGTGCCCAGCATGATCACATTATATTTAAAGAAAATCATTTTACCTTCCACTTACGGGGAAGCTTTTATCGGAATGTATTTCTGAATTCCATTCAGGAATACTGTATCTGTTTCAGACTGAAGAACGGATTTCAAATCGTAACATGACAAAAGTTCAGTCAAAAGAGTCCCATGTTATATGCAGCAGGCACACAACAAAGTTGAATTCTTCAGTTTATTTAAAGGTTATCTTGATAAAGAATACACGATGTCAGTTTCAAATTAATAGTTATCTTTTGTTTGAATAAGTATTCAATTAGTTCTGGAACGCTGATTGCATTTGTCCGAATGAATTAGCATGTTCACATGCCAGTACTTGTATAATTTGCAGATCATTATTTATTGTATAGATACATGTTCATTTTAATGTGTAGTTATACATACATGTTTATAATTTCTTATAAGTTAAACATGAGAACCTGGAAGTAATTCCGTGCACCCTTTTTGATTCTGATAAAAAAAATGGATTTAAGATTGTTAAATTTGTCAAAACATCTTAACATTTGCAATTAAAAGCAAGCCAATTTCTTGCTCAGGTTATGAAATCCATGTTTGTTTTTTGTTGTTTTTTTTTAATGAAAGTGTGGCGTGTAATAAACCTTTGCGTACTAGCATTGAATGAATGTTATTGAACTGTATACTGATGAGTCATACTTTGTTTTTATTCTCTCAATTACCTAATTAACAATATTATGTAGGTGATGCTGTTCCTCATATTTTTATATAACCTTAGGTTATGTAGAATGATATATTTGTTTATATTCTAATTTGTATTTATATACCCCCTTGACAATGTGACACATTACCTGTAATTTATCTACATTGTAACAGGATCTGTATCAATGATAAATAAACCTTCATGTCTCTTTGGTATACCATTGTGCTAATATGTGTTTTTGCCTCCGTACATATGTATTTGTGTTTTTCCCCATAGGGAAATTGGAACGATACTATAACATGCCTGGGAAATCAGTTTAAGAGAGTATCATAATCAATAGAGTGGACAATATTGGATATCTTCCATCTGCAGTACTTATTCGTAGACAATAGCTGTGAAGCGGAAAACTGATTTCCGTCCTGACAGTGATGTGCTTTGTCTCACGTTATTATTTACAACATAATTTAATTAACCATTTAGTGAAGATAACTTAGGTGGATGCTTACTTCATCTTTAAGTGAAACGATACATATATATTGGAGGTGTTTTGTATATTTCTTTTGAATTTATATGATTGGTTGATTTTATTGAGATCTATTTCATAAACGCTATAAATAATGGGGTTATCACATGGGAAAGTTGTTCATGGGTCTGATAATGGAATTAAAGCATACTCACATGCCTTTGATCTAAATGGGTCTCCGCCAGTACTGACAGCAAATGAAGTAAAAATACTGAAAGAAATGTGGAATACAGTTAAAGGTGATATCTCAAAAGTTGGAGTTATTACTTTTGTTAGGTAAGACCGACTAAAATTATTCAAATATCAGAAATTTCTTTCTTATTCAAATAACATTCAGATAAATAATTGTTTTTTTTTTGTATTCTCTTATTTGTCAAAAACATGTTAACATTATGCAGTCAAAAGCAAAGTAAAATTATTGTTCTTTTTCGTTTTTATTACATCTTTAATTTTTTCCGGTCATTTTCCGTTTTCTTCAACTTGACATTCAAAATATTCTCTTTCTATAAGTTATTTTTACTTAAGACTTGTGTTAATGGTCATATTACATACGAGAGTTGTGTAAAATACTAGACAAGTTCCAGTTTGGTAGTTCAGTAAAAGTTTCGAATATGGAACTTTAGTCATCTTAGAATATTGATTTAGACTGATGTTAATTATAAAAGATTTACAAGACTTAAACATATCACTATCTCACACGAAAACTTGAACATGCCATTCAATACATATTGTATAGAAATCATTTAACCCTTGCCACGCTAAATATCTTATGTGCTTTAAATTTCCATCTATCTATCTTAACAAATCATTGCATATATTTAGAGAACATTTGAAAATAAACACGGACTGAATACAGATAGAGAGCAGTGGACAGACACACAGACAGTTGGCTAGGGGTTACAATTTGTTTGTTTATAACGTGACGAACCGGTATTATGAACTTTCTTAATAAGTCGTTGTTAAGAGAGCATCTTACTTATACTTTCGGAAACTCTGAAACGAATAGTAATGATTTTGTTATGCTTTAGACAACACTAATTTATATTGTTCAGATACATATATGAGACATAATTGGTAAAAGCTGTGGTAACAAAAAAACCCTATTTTAATTTATCTAGGTTTGAAATATAGAAGGATGGACATAGCAGCCGTATTACTCTTGTACAATATCTAGTTTGAAATTTGCCCGACAATATGAAGCAGCTGCTCTCATATACGGAATACAAGAATCACATTGCACTCTTTTCATTAACGAGACCAGACAATTTGACGATTTTTTTATTTTCTTCATTTCCATTCATTTTGTTTTTCAATTCGCAGTTGTTGCAACTATATGCGGTTAAGAACTAATTTTGTTCTAGACAAAAGTTCAATTATCTTATAGCAGAGATTTTATCATTGTATTACAAGTTTTTGATTAGGAATCCATTGCACAATCCTCTCTGGTGAGCAGGCTAATTATCTACGACTGATTAAATTTACAAAAAGTCTTTCATATTAAAGTGTCTTATTTTCAAATCGGCTTGTCGCATGTACTTGTTTATGACACAATGGTTCAAATATAACTGCACAGATAAATTCTTAGGCAGATTCAAGGATTGTTTACCCCTTTACCGGCAACAATTCGTAAAATAATTTGTAATAAACGTTTGATTTTGGGCATATAAATATGAACAAGAAGTTTCTTTATACAAAGAAAATATTGCACGTAGGACACAAAATGGGCGCAATTTATTGAAACGCTTGTAATATGTATTCTCGGTAGGGTTAGTCCAGCAACTGTGCTACGAGTTGATTGTGTGTTGATTGTGTGTTGACAAAATTTATTACTCAATAATGAAATTTTAAAGCAAAGTCAAATGTTTTTTGGAAGGAACAGATAAAACAGAACTTTAATATCTGAAAATCTTTTAAATCAAAAGAAAGTACAAGCACCTTCTAAATCTGAGACACAAAGGAAGAAAATTCGCACCCAGAACTTAACAATAATTAAGAAAATAGACGCGTAAGTCATTTCAAAACGATTCTTTGTATTATTTTACTAATTCTAGAATGACAAATGACAATCCCGGATTTAAGTTTGTAACTTTAAATAGACCAATGAAAGTTCTATTTCTATTCATTTCTTCCCTGTAAACTTCACGGGAAGTGAAGATGATTTTAGACGGTCACCGGCCCAAAAAATAGTCAGCCAAAAATAAGGCAGGTAACTTTTGGTTGCAGATGGTAAAGTATTAAATACGAACTTACCCTGCTGCACAATTAACCAACATTAACAACATCACTGGTTTTTGTCTATTAAATTCGACAGTTACAGACAAAAGTTGTTGTTGTTTTTTTTGTTTTTTTTTGCATCACCTCAAACGAATGATAATAAGTACATGTACTGAAGTTTCATGTACTGAATATATGCTGTTATATCTATACCCAGTTGATGTATAATTTGACTAACGTGTCGGTATAAATATACATGCATATCAAAATTTAGAAAAGTAGAAATCAACGAATGGAAGAAAACCAAAATTAGCAGGTGAAAATTGCAAATTCGGTTTGTCCTAAGGTTATTCCATATCAACGTCTATACATTTGAGCATCAAAACATTCAAAACTTCCGATATTTGTTACAAGGAATGGTATTAAAAACCTTTAGAAATACATTATTGTATAAATAACTCACAATGTACTGATGTATAGTAATGTGAATTCTGAAAGGTCAGATGTAGCCTATATTATATAAAGAATATACTTCTAATACAAAGGATTGAGACAAATTATTTTTCAGGATATTGTAAATGTACGTGTTTTTAAATAACATTTAACTTGTATAACAACCCAATATAAGTTATTTTTATCTTAGACATTAACTTAATATCTTAATTTTATGCCGCAAATCATAAATCGTGATCAAATTGAAAATTATAAACACTTAAACAGCAGTTACTTTTGTAATAATAGAACAAAAATGTGAATAAACTATGCTGCACCAAACCTATCATTCAGCTGCTGATAATATCATTTATAAAACTTAATCAATGAACAATGTATATAAATCTAATACTACAACAAATATGCCCGTATGCTGTATTTAACAATCCCTAGGACATTCCCATAAAGGTGTAATAATGATATATTAAGTTACGAGTACATATAAGCTAGAATAGTACGACAAAAAAAGAGAAATCATAGAGAAAAACATTGCGGTGAATTGAACGCCGCCCTTCCTTGATTATCTTGTTTATCATATTCTTTTGCGTATTTACTCTTCAGCGAAGGACGGTAAACATGTAATTATTTGAGAATATGTCTTTACTTCAAAGCTATTAAAATATGATATTAAACATTTGTGTTCATATCTTAATGACTTATTCCATGCTGATTCAGAACAAGTTAAACTCAACAGAAATATTTGAATGAATTCGTGTTTATTGCATATTGTGGTTTTAGAAGAAGGAGATATTAGGCCTTTGTGCACTCATTTTAAGTGCCTTGTTGAGTAATTTGGATTGGCTAAGAAAACAGATAATACGTTTTAAGTGTGTGAACTATATTATTTTAAGTGTGACCAGAATTTTAAATGGCATCAGTTATATGGTAATGCCCGTATTATTAATACATTAAATATATTATTACATAATATATATATATATTTATTTATTTTCTCAAAATTTAAATTAGTAACTCGATATCTAAATGAATAAAGAGTATTTATTGAATTGTTTGAAAGTTTTATTAATTTATATCCTTGACTGCACCTGGCATTTAATGAAGATAATATAGAGCATTTTATGTATTTTATGAGTGCTTTTGCAGTACAGTGTTTGTTGCATGTAGATTTTAATGTAAATCATATATTGCTATAGTAAAAACATTTTTATTTTAAGCTTTCACATCAAACGAAACGTTAAGAAAGGTGTTGAGAAATGTTATATGTCTTAATTAAAGCATTCAAGTACATAGTTTTTTCTGTCAGAAAGCAAGCTTAATGAGAAGTAGAGGGTAAATGACTTTTTATCAATATGAGAGAGAAAATATATTAATATTAATCAGTTGGTTTATTTTCTATTTCCAGTTTGTTTGAGACACATCCGGAAGTTCAGAATGTGTTTATGTCATTCCGGACCAAGAACACATCCGACCTCGAGTACAATCACATTCTACGTGCGCATGCGCTGAGAGTTATGGGCACAGTCGACAAATGTATTTATAGACTGGATAACCGCGAGAAGTTGCGGGGATCTGATGATGGACTTGGAATACGACACCAGAACTACTCGGTTAAAATAGAATTACATCGATGTAAGTTCTACTCGTTCTTATTACATATAATGTGGACAAATATTTTGCAGTACATATTTTACATATCTTTTGATGTTTGAAAATTGTTTTACAAGCATAAAATATATATAATAAAGTACATAAAATACTTAAGTGTGGTTGCAACCGTAGTTACAACGTACAGGATCTTTAAACAAATTAACTTATGATTTATTTCCATAAACCTCATAAAAAGGGGTTATTAACATTATATATTCTGTTTGTAAATTTCTCTGTCCCCTTTATAGAGCATTTTACAAGAGGACGTATTTAATTGTCTTATCAGGCGATATCTGCAGGCATTAAAAATAATTTATGGTACGACTTCAGCGTCATATGTTCGTTATATGTTTAATTGTAATTTAATAATTGCATGAGTAATCCGTTTAATCGCTAAGAGGTTTGTGTGGCATAATTAATCACACACCTTGCTGTAAGTATATAGGCAAAAATATAGCATGGTTGGAATAAATTGAAACAGAGGCACAAACTGTTATGGTAACATATCTTTCACGCCACATTGTATGAACTAAAGTCAAATTGTTTTATTCATATACAAAAGTCCAGCAGCGCGTTCTTGTGATTTTATTTAACCATTGTATCATTTCAACTTCTAAATGAAATGAAACAATTAGTATGATATAATCTTTATACTCAATTAGTAACGGATAAACTCAATGCTATATGACAAAAATTAACAGATGTCTTTGGTTTGGTCCTTTATTAATAGACCTCCTAAAATGACGATGCCGGAAAATGTGCCGGTTTAAGGGATTATTAGTTCGCATGAAATGTATATACAGAGAGAAGTGAATTGCGTGACGTTCATTTTAAGTATCATAAAGTGTTTGGATATTTTAAAGAAGCATGTGTTAAGGGGCCGTGTTAGATTAAGCAACTTTCAATATCTTATATGAAAAATATCAATAAAAAATTGCCTAAACTTTGTTTATTTTTACATTTACTTTACGTGCAACCTTCAAAAGAATCTGAATTGTAAGATATTTACGATGTATACAAAATACAATTGACATTCTATATGATTATAAAGCATTGTTGTAACACCGAGCAAAGGTATTTATCCTTAATCCCAGTTTCATAATGTGCATCTATATTTCAGCTGATGGGGCCACAATTTATATCTTCCATTAAACCCCATCTTGAAAACATGTGGACAGAGGAACACGAACGTGCCTGGGAAAATCTCTTCCAGCTTATGTGTTATTACATGAAGAAAGGAATGTGTAGCATTTAACACATGTGAAGTGTGACGACTTGTTCGGATATATACATAGCAAATTATTCTATGGCAGGAATATACCGAAATGTGTCCTTATTGACCTATTTATTTAACTTCAGAGTGACTGTCGCGAAAGCAGATAACAGTTTAATGTATCTTGGAGTTTGTTTTCGCAATGGCGAGTTGTATCATTCAAAGGTTTTTTATCACTTTTATCGAAAATAAAAACACGTGTGATATTTTGTAGTGTATTTAAATTACGAAAGTATTTTATGTCTGTGAAGTGATAACATTGTTTATGTAAACATTATGCTCAAACTGTGCAATACGTTATATTTCTTAATGTGGAGCATTTAAAGTACGTGTATATGAAACATTGACGTTATTTTGTAGCGTTTACAGAATTATAGCCGTTGGCAATGAGGAACAATCATTTTTGTAGAACTGTAAATAGTCAAATATACGACTCAAAGCATTCAATCATTTTAGAAGGAACAATATCTCACACTTGTTTGTTGTTATTATGTTTTAAAAAGTTATTATTTTTCAAAACAATTCATGACTTGAAAATAGATTATTTTTCATTGACTCAAATTCAAAATTCATGTTTGTTTTGTTGTCTTGGTTTTGTTTTCTTTTGTTCAGAAAAATGAATTGCACATAAATATATATAGTGTATCAAATGAAGAGTATTGGGGATTTATATGAATAATGTGATTGAAATTAGACTTGACTTTGTGATTCAAATTTGAACAAAAATTCTGAAATAGACATGTCCTATCCCATTGGATAGTGTTCTTTTATAATTTCCAAAACTATCATTTTCGAACTGTAAAGGTTTAATACATTATGTTAAAAATATCTGAATATATTAATATTCTACAGGAATTAGTTTGCTTGGACCTTATCTTGATAGCATATTTTTATGATGAAAAGCACCCGTGTTCTTTTTAACCTTAATCACACCAGATCTGCTGTTTTGTAACGGATCAGAAAGGATGAATATCATGTTTAGACTTTGAGCGGATTCGTGCAAAATTCCATGAATTAATAAAATATTACCATGTTCCAATGAACAGATGAATTGACATGTCTGATAGTTAGTTATAAGTGTGTACATTTTTTTTTGGTTTCGTCGTTTAACTAATTTATGATTATTTTCGATGTTGCTTCTTTTGTTTTATGTATTTGAAAAGAGATTTATGTTGTTTCTTTAAACATTCAGTAAGGGATCAATTGTACATATCATCTTAAATGGAACAAAATACATTTATCTAGTCAAGACAAATATATATATATATAATTAAATTAGAGGGCAAAAGTTATGTCAACCATTGCCCGTATAATATCTTAAATGGACTTTTCCAGTTTTTTGTTGTGACAAAACTATTCATCATGTTTAAGGGAAAACTTGAAAATCGATAGTGACTGAAAAGCAAACAGTACAGATAATGAATACCAGCACAGATGATATTTTGGATTGCACTGGTCGCATTTGTAGCGACCGTAAGACCCTTTGTTAAAATATATTTTAGCGTATCATTATACAACACATACAGATAATCGAAGAGGGTTCGAAAAGGCAAATATTAGAATAGGTTCGACAAATAAATAAATAAATATGGAGTTTTCATCTTTCTGTCTAACAAAAGAAGCATTTATATATTATATTGTTCTATAATTACGGTCACTCATTTTCACTGTACATAACCATAGCAACGCGGTTGAATCAATTATCAGTCACTAACATTTGTAAACATATTATCATTTTGTCTACTATTGAATGTTCAGTTGTTGTTAATGAATCAAAACTTGTGAAATAAAGTTTTTAAATGAATATTTCTTATTTATTTATTTTATAGTTTCTTCTTACAAGTTAGTTACTATGTTAGTTGTGAGATAAGATTTCATTTCAAAACAGTATAACTTTTATTGTACTCGAAAATAGTTAAGTTACGATTGATGGCAATTCAGTACAAAGTACAAATACTCAATACATGAAGTTACCAGCAACATTAAGAATCATACATATAATAAATCTGGTAAACCAAAGGGATGTTGCACTTTTTCATTATTCTCTAGTAATCGAGTCTGCAAATTTCATGTAATTTTGTTGTTTTTACACTTTTTTTCCAGATATTTGACCTTCTATACATAATCGGAACACTTTTAAACAATTATAATCGTTGAAAGAGAAAACTTATGTTTGGCATTTATTTCCTGACTAAAATGGTGTTTGTCAGATTTCTTTTGTGAATTGTTGACATGTTACAGTGATGGCTTATTGGTATTAACACTGTACAAAATGGCTATGGAAATTCAGAAAATGTAAATCTACTAATAATTAGATTTGACATGTATTGGAAAATATTCATTCTGATTAAAATTAAGCATTCATGCGCTGTCGTATAGTAGCAAACGAGAGAATTATTTTGTTCGTATAAACAAACCTTTAAATATTCCCTACATAAACAAATTAACCTTTAAAAATTTGGAATAGTCAATTCAGTCTGTGATTTTGTCTCCATGCATCTACTTAGTCTCCGTTTTTGTACTTGTTGTCAAATGTGTGGGTAATTAATAGCGCTATCATGGCGTTTAAAGTAATGTTTTTATTGACCCATATCAATTACTCAAACAATTTGCAAGAACTGAGTTCTGTGTACTTAAAATGATATCTTTCTTTCATTAAATCTAAAAGATACAGACGGAAAATTACGTAATTGTTATTGGCAAGGGGAATGACTGGACATCTGAGATTGTATCTTAATTGAAAATATTGTATTCGATTTGAATTTGATTAGAATGTATTGCATTAAGGGAGAAAAAGGATTGGTTATGGGGAAGAAATAAAGTGGGATATTTGTGCTATGTTTTTTTTTATCTAAAGTCGTGGTTTTTCTTGACAGCAATGAATCTCTATAAAAACATTTGCGATTTTATGATCAAATAAAGTCATGTCCCTATTGAATAGCCGACATATAGACAATGTATTGTTTTATAAACTACTTTCAACTGGCAAATTTGAGCAATGAAATTGATACAATTATTAAATCATCAATTGCATAAATTTATATACCTTCATATTAAGAGACTGTAGAAGTAAATTATTAATGATAAAAGTTAAGAAAATACATTCAGAATTGATAGCCAATCGTATCTTAGATAAATCGAGCATAACGTATTGGATAGTTTATTCAACATTGAAGTGTATCAAATTGATTGACAAATAGAAGCCTTTGTAAATCGCTATGTTTTGCTAAATCAATCTTTTGTCAAACATACGCGTCCAAAATAATTAAACATGTTAATTGAAACTTGTTTACGTTTGCGTCTATCGAAATAAACAACAACAGGTCAATACCTTGCTTTATCAGATTTTAAGGAGTGTTTATGTGCAAAACATCATGTACCTATAATTTGTTTCGGATGATATAGAATTAAATAAAATATATCTTACAAACACAATTTCACAATATACACAATAACGATCTTTGTCTACATGTTACAATGATTCTTTATTCTTTCACTATTTCATATCGGCACACACAATATTATAATATCTTATTATTTTAAATTATTACCAAATTAAGTAAATCATAATAGTTCTGTTTTGACAATTTTGTCTCATACATATATTATATAAGTACCACATCAATTTTATATTTATATATTTTAATCACATTAAATGTCATTTTCCGTATAATATTACCCTTTTCATATTGTTTTGTTTTATACACGTATAAAATTACATTGTCATGACTTCATCGCCTTTGCGTTTCAAAAGAAAAAGGCTTATAAAAGTTTTTTTTTCCCTCAATGTCATTTGCCACACACACACACACGCACACACACACCAACGCACGCACGCATGCAACAACAACAACAACAACAAAACAAACAACAACAAATAAAAAACAAATTCGTCTTTATTTTATTAATCATTTTTGAAAACTATAAATTCGTCCGGAGGCCCGTTGTATAGATAACCGTAATCATTGGCGGTATTTCATTCTTTTCAACGCGATGCGGTTTCTAATTTTAACCCTTTGAAAACAAATACTGTGTAGGTTATTTTCACGATTTCAAGAACAAAGATGACGTTGTCCACAAAGCTGAAAGGTAAACTAGCAAAACATTCTTATATATAAAAAAAATTGACAAAGTTAAAATTATTTCAAGTTGATTTGTTAAAACAACTCCAACCATTTTTTCTTCTAACAAAAATCAACAATTTGTTTAACTTCCATGGAAAACGGTATTTTGATTCTTCTTCTAATGCCTATCTGTAAAAACTGGTTTGATTGCAATGATAAAAATAGTTTTCTCGGAAGGCGAAACATAAACGATGGTCATCAGATCTACATGGAAAATATAAGTCAATTTAAACTTTCGTCAGATAACGTGTATTAAAACCTCTTTCTTAGGTCTCTTTTCTTGAAAGTTTCTAATTAGTAACTACATTTTCACACACACGTTTGGCTTCTTACATGTTGTAAGCCTTACTTTTATTAAAGGGAAATATAAAAGGTAAGAAGCCATAAATCTCTATTTTGAAATATTCATAAAATGATTTAAAACGTTTTAATATCTTATATTGCCATTATTCAAACGTATCGGTAGGTATATCTGAAGATACGATAAGGATTCTCGAATAAGAATAAGATTGAGAAGATGATGGTGAAGTATATGATACAGAAGAAGAGGAAGAAGGAGAAGAAGCTGTTGTTATGATATAATGTCAGTAAAAAGATTACAGATTTAATTGAATTTTTTATAATTAAAACATCAAATTTTGTGTTGAATAGATAAAATGTAATGCTGATTTATGGAACAAAACGTTTACCTGCAATCTTTCAAGTATATGGACATTATACATCAGCATCAATTGTTTGTCGTCGTCCCTTAAGCTTCAGTCACACTACACCGCATAGCGTTAACGGACGCCAAACGCAAAGAAAAATGCGGCTGAAAGTTATCCGGTGATCAAAAGCATTTCCCGCTGCTGCTCGGTGCTCTCATGATCGCTGTACGGGGTGCATAAAATGTACAAAACTCACAATGACCGAACGATCAACACACATAAACCGGATGAACGACGTACAGTTAACGGACTTCGACGTACTAGTAACGGATTTGTACCGCACAAAACGTACACGCAGCGCATGAAGAACTGACAAAACGTTCTTTTAACGTTCGACGAGCGTATTTCTACCGGTCACGTGACGGACAAAACTGGTATAAATAGTCCGATTTTTTTTTTCGTTTCGTAATTTGCAGCTTTAAGGTCGGACTCGTTTCACAACTAAGCATCAGATGCAGCACCGCGGCCTCCGATGTCGGCACAAATGAACTTGTAGTCGTAGTCAACGAGGGCAAGCATGACAATGGAGTTATACTTCTTATAGTTAATATGTGGACCCGGAACTAGGTAGACACTTTAACAGGCAATATGCTTGCAATCCAACGCACCCAAAGTGTGAGGAAAGTTCCATTTTTCCAAGAAGCCATCTGAAATGCGTTTCCAGTCAGCAGCTGTTGTTGGCAAAGGAATGACCTCGTTCACATACATGTAAGCAAATTATCGATATTTTAAAAGACCAGAAATTATATACATG